ACATGTCACCCTGTGCATGTGCATGAGTTTCAATAGTGGGAAATCTGTGGGATACGCTACAGTATATCAAGGTTTGGCAACACAAGTAATACACGTTCGGATCAATTCATATTTGTATAGAATGAAAAAGATGGTCGACATTGTCCTTGAACTGGAACGCAGCCAGAAAGACCTAGAAAGTCATACATCTTGATATTACGATAACCAAATCCCACACAACACGGAATCTTATATCAAGATCTTGATATCATGTTGATTTATTACCAAGCTCAACTTAGTATATCAGTTGGCTTGGATGCAGATTAAAACATCCATTGCTGCTGAACCACACACACACCGACAGCTAATTCAGCATGCACGCGTCCCACACACAGACACACACACACACAACTGCCACACAGTCTTTTTGAATCCTCCTTCCAATCTCCAGGCCTCAGGCATGCTCTGTTGGGGATGTTCTCAAAATACACCCATCAATCACTTTGCAGACAGCTTCGCCTGGCCCTCCCCGCTACTCCTCGCGCCTGCTGCAGGAGTCTCAAGGTGAAGGAGGGCGCTGCGTCTCTCCGTCTATAATCACTCACCTGTAGGACTGCGCGCGCACACACACACACACACACACACCGTGGAAAGAGTGTGTTCTTGCATTCAGTGTCCCCTAAAAAAAAAACTTCCTGCATCCCCCCCCCCCCCCTCCCCAAAAAGATCACAAAAGGTTCCACTGAGCTGGCTAAAAGTACAACTGAGCGAACAGGAGAGGTGACATTTCCAAAACTGGAGCCTTGCAGCGTCCACGTGGACATCACGTGATGAAGTATCGGTGGAACACACACACAGAGGGCGACTTTTTTTAACTGAGAAAAAGAAAATAGAGTAAAAACACAGGCCCTGCTTTATGTGGAGAGAGGACAAGATGGGAGAGTGAGCCCAACGCCAGCCTGAGAGAGACCAGAATAACTTCTGCCTGTGAAGCTCCTCACATGACCAGAATGTAATTACACATCCAGGTTTGGTGCTGTCTGTTTTCATACGAGTGAAGTCTGCTGGGACACAGGCAGACAGAAGACAAAGGACGCTGTAATACGATTAAAATCCTTCAAACCTGAACATCATCAAAGTTGGAATCCCTCTATGTGACTACGTTTACTCATATACTGTACACCCGGTGCTGTGTGTGCTTAGCGCTTATTTCCAGATGTCGTCTGATGAAACATGCTGAAATAGTGACGAAAAAACATCTTGGAGTTTTGTCTGATTTTAATTCACTTATCAGGGGGTTCTCGCTACCTGCTTTGGCATACCTGAGATGAAAAACAGTGAAGCAACAACGGGCACGCTCGAGTTTTTCTCAGCCAACAAATATTTGGCAGGCCGGGGGGGGGGGGGGGGGGGGGGGA